GTGTGTGTGTGTGTGTGTGTGTGTGTGTGTGTGTGTGTGTGTGTGTGAAGGCAACTTGCAGAAACATCTTCTTCTCTCCTCCCACCATGTGGGTTCCAGGGATGGAACTCTGGTCACCAGGCCTGGCTTCAGGAACCTCTTCTACCAGAGTTTGCTTTGCAAAAGGAAAATGATGCTAGAGCTAGATTGTCCTCAATGGTTTCACAACAATGTTAACAGGTTTGAGTCACTAAAGTGCATACTTAAAATAGCTGTTATACACAGTTTGGCATTAAATTTTGTATTTTTAAAATAGAGAAAACTACAAAATGGCTTGATGTTAGTGTGGGGAAATCTGCCTGGACATACAAGCATTACAACTTCTGGAAGGATGTGAACAGCTGGGCTATTTGGAGTCAGGGCACAGCATCCTTCTGAGCTATTTCACTCAAAATTAATGCACTCTTCTTTTTATTAATATTAACATGTATGTAGAAACTGGAGGGATCAGCTGTCATCTGCAGGAACACCACCCACCTCCTCTGAGAAAGTCTCTCTTTAGCCTGGAGCTCACAAAATAGGCTACAGTGGCAGGCCACAGAGCCTAGGGATCCTTCTGTCTCCACCTCCATGGCACTGGAATTACAAGTGTGCCATCATGCTCAGCTCTTTTTCATCCCACATCCTCATGTTTACAATGCAAGTTCTTTGCCAACTGAACCATCTCCCCAGCCCTGAATATGAATTTTTTAAGATTGTATTTATATTACTTTTTAATTAATCTCTTTTGAGGTTTTATGTGTATAGGTATTTTGCCTGCGTGAATATCTGAGTACCACATAGGTACTGCGGTGCCTGGGAGGGCAATGGATCTCTTGGGACTGGAATTACAGACAGATATTAGCTGCCATGAAAGTGGTAGGAGTTGAACCAGGGTCTTCTGGAAGAGCAACCAATGACAGCTGAGCCATCTCCAGCCCCAATATTTACTTATCTTTAATCGTGTGTGTGTGTGTGTGTGTGTGTGTGTGTACTACTGGAAGCCAGAAGCAGCAGATTCCTAGGAACTAGAATTCTGGGCAGTGTGTGCTGCCTGATATGGGTTCTAGGACTGAACTTGGATCCTTCTGGAAGAGAACTAACTGCTGAGCCATCTCTCTAGCCCCTAAATTATGATTATTATGATCCTTTGCAAATTATCATAGACCCTCAACAGGGTCCACAAAATTCAGCTCCCATCTCAGTGTTTCATGATAAGCAGTATGAGGAATGGGTTAACACTGATTGCATGCCAGGTCTATGTTAAGCATTTTATTTTTCTTTATTTTCTGTTTGTTTGTTTGTTTGTTTGAGACAGGATTTCTCTGTGTAGCCTTGGCTGTCCTGGAGTTGCTCTGTAGAACAGCTGGCCTCGAACTCAGAGATATACCTGCCTCTTCTTCCCTGAGTGAAGGGATTACAGGTGGGTGCCCCACCATGCCTGGCTATGTTAAGCACTTTACAATCTTTCTTTTGAAATGTTTGTGGTGTGTGTGTGTGTCTGTGTGTGTGTGTGTGTCACATGTGTGTATGGTGTCCAGAGTCCAGAACAGGGCACCAAATTGTGATGGGGCAACACAGTGTTGAAGTTCCTCCATCTTCTATTTTTGCTGAGACTGTTTCCACATTTAAATAGAATTTGATCTCCTTGATGGAAAATTCCATGAAAAACTAGCCAACTTTATTCTAGGAACCAAAGGTCAGGATATCCTAATTAACCTATCTTAGCCTTTGTTAAAACTGCTTGTGTGGAACCTCCTCCAGCTAACTGCTTACCTTAGCTTCTGTTAAAACTGCTTGCATCAAATTGCTTACTGTGAAGATCCCTGAAGAAGGTCTCTGCCCTTAAAAACCCCATGTTGTAGAAACTCAGGGTCACACCTAGGTCCATGAACACTTGGGTGTGGTCCCAGGCAGCTGGAATAAAGACTTTCAATTGGCTATACACTGTGTCTCAGTGTTCATCTCTGGTGAGTTCCCCATAACATTTTCCCATGGAGCTGGAGTTTAAAACAATTGTGAGCCACCTGACACTGGTGCTAGTATGCACTCTTTTTGTTGTTGTTTTTCTGTGTAGCCTTGGCTGTCCTAGAACTCACTTTGTAGACCAGGATGGCCTTGAACTCACAGAGATCCGCCTGCCTCTGTCTCCTGAGGGCCAGGATTAAAGGTCTACCATACTATCATGTCCAGCTGGAGTGTGTATCCTTAATCACCGAGCCAACTTTCTAGCCCCTCACACACCCACATTAACAAATACAGCAACTAGTAGCTATTTAGTATAAAGCTTAGTTTTTATGAAATTCTGAAAACTAACCTACTCACTAGACAATGTTTGTGGTCCTTCATAGTTCCTTTTCAAGGGGTGTCTTTTTTCCCCTTTAAAGAGGCACTCGTTCACCTGAACCACCACCTGTTTACATACCACTTAATTCTAAGTAGATGGAAGCACCTGGTCTCTAATGCTAAACAGTGCTATAAGGAGTAGAGCAGTGAGAACCACATACAAGAACAAAGCAGAACAGTCCCTAAGGCAAGTTCAAGTTGATTCTCCCCTCTATTTCTCTGCCTTTCTGAGTGGCAAAACTGCCTCTGTGGACTCAAGAGAACAGCAGTCCTGTGAAACGATTCATGACAGACGACATAAAAATTAAGTTTAGAACTGCCACGCACAGAAGTTATACCAGGTGTGTATGTGAATGCATGGAATGTATAGGTCAGAGGACGTCTCCCTCCACCAAGTCCCAGGGATCAAGCTCAGGTCACTCGGCTTAGTGGGAAGCAGGTTCACTTTAGCCATCCCACCCGCCCACATGCCAAGATTCTTACTTTTTCCAGAACTCCACAAATGATATTACTCTGCATTTGCTAACGCCACTTTCTTTGGAATTTTATCCCCATAAAAGACATGGCTTTGTATCAGAGAATTAATAAGTTCAAACCTTTAGAAATAATCACTCATGTCTCTAGACATGTCCTGGTCTATGTCTTTATAGTACATTTTCAGATGCAAAGCACACATTTCCCACAGCATTTTATTCCATACCATGATATACTTCGTGGAAGAAACCTATCCAAGTTAGAGAAATGCTAGCCCCACAGTAGTCTCACCTGTCTACAAGAATTTCATTTTTCTTCTTCCACTCTTCAACAGCAGAAACGTCTTTTGCCTCCAGTTTCTGTTTCAAACTACTTATCTCCGATTCATAATAAGCTCGAAGATCTGCTACGTGCCGTGCATGCTTTTCCTTGAGGTTCTGCCTGATTCTGTTGGTAAGAGGGAAAGATGCTCTCAGGACAGTGCGTCCTCCACCCCATGAGACAAGCAAGGACACAGCCTCACCATTCAAGCTACGTATTTCAGAGTCCACTGAAAGGGGTAGACCTGTGGCAGGTAATCTTCACTGTCAACTTGACAGAAACCACCTAAAAGACACCGAGGTGTGTCTGGAAGGGTGTTTCCAGGGAGGTTTGACTGACCCACTCTGAATGTGAGGGCACCAATCCATGGGCTGGGGTCCTCGGCTAAGTAAAAAGGACAAAGAGAAGAAAGCAAACTAAGTACCAATGTCATCTCTTTGGACTTCTTTTTGTTGTTGTTCTTTTGTTTTGTTTTGTTTTTTGAGATAGGGTTTCCCTGTGAAGCCTTGGCTGTTCTGGATCTCACTCTATAGACCAGGCTGGCCTCGAATCCACAGAGATCCACCTGCCTCTGCTTCCCGAGTACTGGGATCTCTGAGCTCCCATTTACTAGATACCTTTGTCAACCCCTTTTTTTTTTTTTTTTTTTTTTTTAACTTTGGGACAAGGTCTCTCTGTATAGCCCTGGCTGGCCAGGAACTCAGAGATCTGCCCAGCTCTCTCTGTATTTCTTGATTGTAGACATGGTGTGACCAGGTGCCTCATGCCTGACCCCTGGCCACTATGCCTTCTCACCATGATGAACTGTGATCCCCAAACTATGAGCCAAAATAAACCCATCCTCCTGAAGATCTTTGGCCAGGTATTTGGTCACAGTGATGACAAAAGTAGCTAATACACACACCACATTCTCGTAGCCAGAGGACAACCTGTTCCTCCTTCCATCCCAAAAATTACAGTAGATGTTCCATGTGCTCTAGACATAGAAGCATTCTGATTAGCTCCCATTTACTAGATGCCTTTGTCAACACCTTTGTTTTCAACTTTGAGACAAGGTCTCTCTGTGTAGCCCTGGCTGGCCAGGAACTCAGAAATCCACCTGCCTCTGTCTCCCAAGTGCTGAATTACAGGCATGTACCACCATACCCAGCCTTTATCAATATCCTTATCTTTTACTTCAACAAAGCAGTTAACAGTGAAAAACACACGTTAGTTATAGTTCATTATATTTTATATAATACTGTGGTCCAATAGAAATCACTTTCATCATTCAACCAGATATCACAAGTCTAATAACAGTATAAGCCAGTTGCTGAAATACATACTTAGAAAACATCACAGGATCTTCCAGGGAAGCCAATGAAATGCATTCTGGGACACGGTTGGCTGTACCTGGAAGCTGGGACTGACTGACTGAGGCAGAAGCCACTGTGACAGTGTTTTCTTCATCTACAGTTTTGACTGAGATATCGTTGCTAGTGATGGTGTAGAGTGAAGGGATTGTGGAAGCAGTCCTGCTTTCATTTTGGAATGCATGGTTTTTCCAAGTGTCCACGGGCGATGCTTTCATACTTGAAGGATATTTGGGGAACCCAGATACCTGAGACGCGTTATGACTTGCTTGTGAAAATGAGTCAATGTCAGAGTGACTAGACAGGCTTGGTTCCAGAACAGAGTCTGGTGAAAAGGATATTCTGTCTTCCAGAGCATTCAAAAAGCCATGGGGCTGAATCCCCGACATCTCCTTTGGCTTCATGTGAATGGATGGGTCGAGAGACAGGACCTAGAAGGAAGATTGACAAGCTTCAAGTTGAGGCCTCGGGGCTCAGGACAACTTGCTGGCTGTCAGGAATGTGGGCTTTAGCTCTCCAGGGCAGATTAAGCAAAAGGATTTAGAAGAGCATCCTGCTGACATTCAACAGGTAACTGGGGTTGGAAGCAGAGGTGAGGTTCCCCCCCTCAAAAACCTTGCTTGCCTTTTGTTCTCTAGAATAGGAAAGTGATGGTCACATCATCCCATTGATAGCATTAAATTAAGAAATAAACAAAAAAGAAACTATTAAGCTTCAAACAAAATTAAGAGCCTTTAATCCCAGCACTCAGAAAACAGATCTCTGAGTTGGAGGCCAGCCTGGACTATGTAGAGTGACTCCTAGAACAACCAGGGTTAAACAGAGAAATGATATCTTGAAAAAGAAAAAAAAAATCACTATCAAGATCAACACCTTAAAAAAATAATCTTTGAAAGATTTTATATAGATTGGAAACTGAGACTGATTATATTAATCAGATTAATAACAGCTTTGAAGATCTTTCTGATTATCTCCTCCAGAATAGAAAATTGCTTATCTCCTAGCAGTAGGACTAAAGGGATATTGGAAACTGGTTAGCAGTCCTAAAATACAACCCTAGGTGGTCCCTGAGATGGTCTGGATCGTCACTGTCCCTCAAAGGCTCATGTGCTGAAGCCTAGTTCCCAACTGATAATGCCATCAGGAAACACTGAAGTCCTGAACAGGGGTGGGCCTACAGAAGGAACTCAAGTTACTAGGGACATGCCCTTGAAGGAGATCCTGGAACCCTGGTCCTTTCCCCTCTTTTTCTTTACCTCACGGTGTCCATGAGAGGAGCAGCCTTTCCCTTTTCTAATCACAATCTTCAGCCTCACCACAGACCCAAAAGCAAATCTGACCAAGTGACAATGGACTGAAACCTTGAAACCAGGAGCCAAAATAAGCTGCTTGTCCTTTACACTGCTTATTTACACATTCTCTCAGAGCAATGGAACACTGACTAACAGTCTTCCTACTCAAAAATACCACTGTTTTAGGAATAGAAATGTGGCTCAGGGGTTAAGAGCACTGCCTCATCTTGGAGAACCCTCTTGTGTGGGGGCTTTTTAATAGAAGGCTACATTAACAGCCTGTCTCAAAATATGTATGGGTGTTTTGCCTGCATATATGACTGTGCACCATCTGTATCCTTGGTGCCTCTACAATATCAGATCCCATGAAACTGGTGTTATACACAGTTGCAAAGTGACATACATGTGCTGGAAATTGTACCTGGAAAAGCAGCCAGTACTCTGAGCCATTTCTCCATACTATTATATTTTTAAAAATACCAAGATTTAGCTGAGTAATACCTATAACCCCAGAACAGAGACTGTTGAAAGAATATCTTGTGTCACCTGTCAATAAAAAGCTAATTCCTATATCTGAGGCAGGAAATTAAAGATGGGACATATCCGGCAGGCAGAAAGGATTAGACCCAGGAAAATTCAACCTGCAAGATGTGAGGAAGACAAATGCATAGTACCTAAGCAGAGGTAACCAGCCATGTGGCAGAATGTAGATTAGAATAAATAGGTTACTAAGTTATGAACTAGTCAGAGAAGAGCCTAGCTATATGGCCTAGGTATTTGTAAAATATTTTGAGTCTCATGAGTCATTATTCTGGGAGCTTAAGGCAGGGAGGAAAAACCCCCATCGCTACAAGGGACAGTGGGACAGAAATATGAGGGTTGAGGGTCATACTAAGCTACATACTGAGTGCCAGGCCAGTGTAGGCTACATTAACAACCTGTCTCAATAAAACAAAAACAGGCTGGCAAGATAGTTAAGCAGGCAAAAGCACTTGTTCTTGCAGAAGACCTGGGTTCAGTTCCCAGCACTAACATAGCAGTTCACAACCACCATAACTCCAGTTCCAGGGGATCAAACATCTTTTCTGGCCTACACAGGATCCTCCCCAACACCTCCCACACACACACATTTAGAAAATCTTTAAATTTTTTATTATATTGACACATTTATTATTTTATATGTACATGTGTATCCAGCTTAAGACGACCTGCTCCACCTCCATGCTTGGTGAGAAGCATGTGCCACCACTCCAGGCCTTTCAACACAGACTCTGGGATAAACACTAGATAATGTGACCACAAGACAAACACTGCACTGACTGAGCTCTCTCTCCAGCCTGGTTGGTTGGCTGATTTTGGTCTCATTACATAGCCCAAGTTGGCCTCCAATTCACAGTGATCCACCTGTCTCATCATATTTAATGCTAAGATTAAGGAAATGTACCACCACGCCTAACTTAATTCCATTTTAAAGTAACCTTTTAAAGATTATATGAGATATAATATGAAAGAGAGCCTGACTTCCAAGCCTCTGCTTCCCCCAGCGTTTCAGAAGTTGCAACAATGCAAACTCTATGATGGCAAAGCTATCTACAATCATAACACAGAAGCACCAATGCATATAGGGGGTACTATGCATTACCTGGCTCAGAGGCCTCTCTGGAGGGGATGGTACAAATGTCTTCTCCAAAGTTTCAGGCAAAGAGTGATACATGTCTTTTTCCTCCAAGTTCCAGTAAGTCAACCCTGATGTGTACACACAAAGAACAGAAAGGAGTGAGGAAGTGTTCTAGACGAACAATTCAATCATGGGTCACTGGGAGGGCTCAGCGGATTAAAGATTCTTGCTACCAAGCCTGATGACCTGAATTCTATCCCTGGAACTCACATGATGAAAGGCTCACACAACTGACTACCACAGGTGGTCCTCTGACCTCCAAACACACAGCATGCTATGCCCTTGTCATCATCCCTCCCAAATAAATAAATAAATGTAGTAAAAAATATGCTTTGCAAACAGCCAGGCACTGGTGGCACACGCCTTTAATCCCAGCACTGAGAGGCAGAGGGAGGCAGATCTCTGTGAGTTTGAGGTCAGCCTGGTCTACAAAGCTAGTCCAGGACAGCCAAGGCTATACAGAGTAACCCTGTCTTAAAAAACAAAACAAAAACTATAAACAACCAAAATGAATTATTAATAGCTAAAAATGTATTTTGAAGAGAAGCCACTTCACAAGCATAGATGTCCACAAATTCAGTGTACAAAGTTCAAGTTCTCTATTAAATCTAGGTATGGTGATATCATCTGTAATCCATCATCTGTAATCCCAACACTTAGGAGGCAAAGGTAAAAGGGTCACCATAGATCTGAAGATAGCCTGGTCTATAGTGAGTACTAGGCCAGCCAGGGCTACATAATGAGACTCTGTCTCAAAATAAGAAAAAAAATGTAGGCAGCACCTAACAAACAATGCCCTAGGCTGACCTCTGGCCTCAACAAGTTATGTTCCCACACATGCATGAACATACATGTATTTGGGCATACACACACACTAGGAAGGCTAGGGATGTAGAGAGTGCTTGCCTAGCATGGAGGAAGCCCTGAGTTCTGCATTAGTTACCTAAGGCAGGCATGCTAGCATACTGCTATAAACCCAGTACTTGCAGAGGTAGTGGCCGGAGGAGCAGGACTTCAAGTCATCATTAGTTAAATAGCATATATCAAGGCAGAGTTTTTCTGTGTAGCTCTGGCTGTCCTGGAACTCACTCTGTAATCAGACTGGCCTTGACCTCAGAGATCCACCTGTCTCTGCCTCCAGAGTGCTGAGATTAAAGTTATGCACCAGGCTATAGATTAGACTCAAAAGGCACATGTCTTGGCATCACCTGGTCCCTCCTTGGGCTGCACCTCCATCACAGTCATTGGCTTTGTTTTTTCAGAGACGGTTCTGCGAGAAAGAACTATTTTCAAAGGATGGCAAAGCCTGTTTTACTGAGAGAATAACAGCTAGGAGTTTCTGTCACAGGAAACATCTGACTAAGGAGGCAGCCAAAGGCAAAGTCTTCAAATGAGCCTCTGGCAGATGTGAGCAGACGCTCAGCACAGGAGGAGAGGCAATCAGCTCCATCCTGCTGGGCCTTATAGGACTCCAGAAAGATTCTGGCTGCTTTTCTGAGGAAATGGGAACCATAGCAGAGGTTTGAGTGGACAAGTTCCATGCATAGAAGGAGCCCTCTGGCTACCATATTGCTGACAGTCTAAAGGGTGAAGACCAAATGGCAGAAGGGAGGCAGGTCAAAAGGTGACAGACAGAGGGAGTTCTGAAGTGGTAGGAGCAGTGTAAACTGAAAGGTGGCTGGATTCCACAGTTTCTGCTAAAACAAAGCTAATTCAAACTGAAAGCGGACATGACACATGGGAAAAGGTGCTAAAATACAAAAGTCAGCACATAAAGCCAGGAAGACAGCACAGCCGGCCATGGCTTACAGAGGGGCTGACTCCTCATGGAACAATGGAAAAGTGCTTCAATGATTTATGCAGCTGTCTGGAACCATTACAGACGCACTGCTTTACCATTCCCTCACGGCAACCGGAGGGTAGGCACACACAAGGCTTTCGGAAAAGCCAGACACTACACATGCTCCTCATCACACAGTGGGAAATCCAAGCAAGCTGGGGGTAAAACAAATTCTTTAAGTTCCAAGGGGTTGTAGAAAAGACTTGATACGCTTACTGCTCTTCCTAAAGTCTCAGGTTTAATTTCCAGCACCCACATGGTGGCTCACATTTGTAATTCTAGTTCCAGAGGATCCAACACCTTCCTCTGACTTCCCAGGGCAACAGGCCCGGGGATGATGCAAGATCATAGATGTAAGCAAAACACTTATGTACATAAATTAAAATGAAGGTTAATTTTTTTCTTTTAAATTTGAGGTCAGGCCATGTCAGGGCACATGTCCTTAATCCCAGCATATGGGAGGCAGAGGCAGGAAGATCTCTGTATGTTTGAGGCCAGCCTGGTCTACAGAGTGAGTGCTAAGCCAGCCAGTCACTATGATGTGACCTACAGAGTGTCTCCAAAAATTTTTAAAAATAATTTAAGTTCCATACCTGTTCCTGAATCAGACATCCAAGAACCTGGGCTTTCAGTTGGTTTATTGAGGTAAAAGGCACAAGGATGGACAGCTGCAGCAGCAAGATTAGACTGCAAGAGAGGAAAGGCGACAATTGGTGGACCGCTAAATGCATTATTAGGCACACACTGCTGAGCCAGGAACTAGCCAGGAGTTGAACCAGGCACAGAGACAGCAGCCGGTCATGAAGAGAGTATCAGTTCTCCGTGGCTGCAAGAACACAGCATGGAGGACGGACAGCGCAGGCTCCGCCTTCCCTGCATCAGCTCTCAAAGGTTTGGGGTATTTTTTGGTTGATTGGCTGGTTGGTTTGGTTTGGTTTTTTGGCTTCTGGAGTTGTTGTTTTGGCTTTTTGTTTTGTTTTGGTCCCTGTGGATTGAGGGGGTTCTTAGAAAGAGCTTAGAAAGATGAAGGCAGACATAATCTATGAGTTGAGAACCAAACTCTATTTACAGTTTGCTATCAATTTTCAGAAGGAATTTGAGAAATGTGGAATCAGTAACTAGGTTAAAAAAAAATTACCTAGTAACCTGTTTATTTCATCACAACTTTGGTAAATCAAATGACTCAAAACCACAGATCCATAATATGAACTGCAAATAATAAATTACTTTTGGATTATTTGTGGACAACATTAATTCCTTAGGCATACTAGGTATAATGCTTCACCCAGTCTTTCTTCTTGTGTTTCTTTGAGACAGGGTCTTGTTTTGTAGCCCACGCCAACCTAACACTCATTATCTTCCTGCAGTCTGGATAACAGATCCTTCTATGTGTATTGGTGCTGGAGGTCAAACCCAGGTTAGCCATGCTAGAAAAGCACTCTACCAGGGCCTAGAGAGATGGCTCAGAGGTTAAGAGCACTGGCTGTTCTTCCAGAGGTCCTGAGTTCAATTCTCAGCACCCACATGGTGGCTCACACCTCTTCTGACGTGCAGGTAGAAGCATGTATACATAATAAATTTTAAAAAATTAAAAAAACAAAACAAAACAAAACACTTTACCATAAAAGCTACATTGCCCAGTCCTTGGTTCTGGGTTTTGATGTTTTTCTCATCATCACCATCATCATGTGCATGGGTGTTTTACCTGCATGTATAGCTGTGCACCACTTGTGTGCTTGGTTCCTACGGAGACCAGAAGATGGTGTCAGGTCAGCTGAAACTAGAGTTACAGATGGCTGTAAACCACCATATGGGAGCTGGGACTTGACCCCAAATCCTCTGGAAGAACAGCTAGTGTTGTACTTAACCACTGAGCTGTCTCTCTAGCCCTCAACCCTTGGTTTTTTGAGAGTCTTGCTATAGCCCAAGCTGGTCTAGAGTTCACTGTGCAGTCCAGGCTGGCTTTGGATTCCTGATCATCCTGCCCTCTATTCCCTAAGTGCTGGGATTACATGTGTATACCATCAGGTGCTCAGCCTATTACTTCACATATACAGTAAGGCCGCTAGTCCCAGCAAAGGCTAAAAGTGCTTATTGTTCATTCTGATTAAAAAACAAAACAAAGTGTTGATAGCCCAGTGGTTGAAGGGATAAGAGCATGTACTTCTTTTGCAAAGGACCCTAGTTCAGTTCGCAGCCCTCACTCGCATCAGATGGCTCACAACCATCTGTAACTCCTCCAGCTGCAGGGGATTCAGTGCCATCTTCTGACCTCTGTAGGTGCCTACAGGCACGCCTCTGCACACACATGTGCATACACACACACACAGACACACACAGACACAGGAATCTTAAAAAATCTTTTTAAAGAAACAAAAACATTCCTCGTAGTATCTCTAACACTGTCACACACAAAACTATTTTCCAGGAATGGGCAAACCACGGTGGAATGTTTGCTGCAAAAGAGCCTTTGCTAGGTTTCTTGCTCATCACTACAAAGAAAAGAAAAGCTGTGTCAAACAGAGATGTGTGACAGGACAACCTCCTCTTCCTCCTCCCTTCTTCTTCCTCTTCCTCATTCATTTTCTCAAGACAAGTGTTTCTCTGTGTTAGCACTGGCTGGCCTAGAACTTGCTCTATACACCAGGGTGGCCACAGAGATCCACCTGCCTCTGCCTCCTGAGTGCTGGGATTAAAGGTGCATGTCATCACCACCTGGCTTTCATTGACTTCTTCTAGGTGCTCCTCCTCTTCCATCCTCCAGAAGTAAGAATACCTGGGCAGTACTTTATTAGAAGGAACAAGCTACTCATGAGTCTGCCACATAGGGTACCACTCCACCTCTTTCTGTCGAGACACAAATTCCTAAGTTACCATTTGTTTCCTAGACCTCTTGACTGTTTCAGTCTGGGAAAGTGACTACAGAAAACCAAGTCAAATACTCCCACGTAAAACACTCACACCTCACCCTGCTTCTGAGGATCGAGCCTCAGGGCAGGAGAAAACACACACTGCGCACTAGAATACTGCCATACACAAGTGCTGGCTGCAAGCTTCTGGGCAAACCCCCAAGCCCACCTCCCCACTCTAAAAGGCTGTCCACTAAAGAAAAGGGCCACTTGAAAGTAAAAGCATGATTCAACAAAGGCCTTCCAAACGTAAGCCCTCTTAGCCAAAGATGCCAGCCTAAGCCCAGCGCAAAAACACACTGATGAGCAGCTTAGTCCTTTGGCCCATGAGATGGAAACAAAGGACCAAGGAAACAAAGAACAACTTAGCCCTGGAAAGTGCTTGTGCCACACAATGCAAAAAGTCAAGATGGACTTCAAAGTAACTATTTCCCAGGATAAACCAGCATTGTGCAAAAGAAAAAGCTCATCAGAGGAGAATTTTGATAAGTAGTCCCCTTTGTGGAATAAAACTAAAAACAATGGGGACAATGGCTCACTAAAAAGTTTCCAACTTCTGTGAATTCAGAATTCTCCAACAAAGAAATATATCAGGCATGCCGTTCCCACCAGCCTGGATCACCTCACAATCACTTAAAAGTAGCTGGGAATGGTAGTGCATGCCTGTAATCCCAGCACTTGGGAGGCAGAGGCAGTGGATCTCTGAGTTCAAGGACAGCCTGGTCTGCAAATAGAGTCCAGGACAGCGAGGGCTACACAGAGAAACCCTGTCTCCAAAAAAAAAAAAATCACTTTAAGTTCAATGACACCAAAGAAACTTGATTTTCCCAAATGATTTAACTGAGGAACAATTAACCTTGCCTAGATGATAGAAAAAAATCACTCCTTTGGGCTCACCCCTCTTTGGCTTCCCTGATGCCCTGCTGGGGGTCGAGGGTAGATTAGCTGCAAAGGGCATGGTCAGCAGTGTGAGGGTGGTGGCTACTGGCCTGACTGTTCACTGAACTGATGGAGACAGCCAGGCAAAACCTGCTGTTCCAGACATACCACACAACCAACCCACCCAGGGACTTTACAGAGGCCCTCACAGAGCAATGTCCACAAACATAACACTCCTCAACAGGCAAGCCCACCCTGCCATTAGTCAGAACACCTAGCACAGCAGCCAGGATGAGTCCACTTTGAAATCTCAGGTGACTCCAACATGCAGCAAAGTTTGGGAACTGTAAGACAACATCAAATACAGAGTGAGCCACAACCAGAGGTGTCTAGAACTCTTATGACTTTTTTATTCGATTTCTGTCCTAGGATAATAGCAAGACAATGCTCAGAATGATCAGGACACAGCCCATTTCTAAAGGAACTGACCCTCTCGGTGTACAAAGACCTGACCTTGGAACCTCCATGGATGACACTAAGCAGTGCTGTCCCTTTACAGTTTAGGCCATGGCAGCAACACACACATTCTGAAACTTTGTATCTATGACCCTTTGTGAACAGAAAGCTCCAGGCTGAATGTAAAGGGTTAATCTTGCAGAGCATGATGGCATTCTACTGCACTCTCTGCTACTCAGGAGGCTGGGAGGAAGAGGAAGAGGCAGTCTATACTGGCAAACCCAGCTACAAGGAAAAAAAAAAAAAAACTATTACTAAATTACAATTCAAATGATAAAATCAGAATTATCCACATTTCAACGATCTTAAGAAAGTGCTCAGTACATACAGTATTACTTGTTGCAATGACTAGCAGACTTTCTTTTTATTTTTTTGTTTTGGGGGGGGGACTGAGACAGGGTTTCTCTATCCTGGACTCCCCTTTGTAGAACAGCCTGCCTCTGCCTCCACCAAGTGCTAGGACTGCAGGTGCGTGCCACCACACCCAGCTGCAATGTACTAGTAAGGTATACTATTTGAAGGTATGCTTTGCAGTGCGGGGGAACAGATCCAGGGGCTCATGTTCACATCAGACAACTACATGGTAGCCCACAAACACTAACTCCACAGAATCTGATGCCCTCTTCTGGCCTCCAGGGGCACTGCATGCACACAGTGCACGTACACGCATGCAACCCAACACAAGAAATTAAGTAAGTCTTAAAGAAAAAAAAGATTCGTAAATAAACAAATGAGCAAAACCACAACAATGCCAGTGTAACCACCAGGACCCAAGGCATGCCAGAAGAGCCCCTTATCACCTACTGTTTCAACTGGAGGCTTCCGGTTTGGCTCATTCCCTGGCTTAGGTCTTGAGCAGCCATCTTCTGTATGTGCTTGCTTGGGCTGGTTCTGCTTCAGCTTTTGTGCCCATGATGTTATAGACTTAATACTTAAAAAGAGAAAAATAAAATTAATTTCTTTAAAAGCCACCTTTTATATGTAAGAGTCAGCATAGGACCTCATGCCCCAGTGGGCAGTGTTCTGCTTTTCTACTGGTAAAAATGGGCAGGTGCAGTAGTGCATGCCTTGAACCCAGCAATAGGAAGACAAAGGCAGCAGCAGATCTCTGGAGGTTGGAGGCCAAACTAGTCTATACAGCATGTCCTGGGACAGCCAGAGCTAGAGAGAGGCCTGTCTCAAAATCAAAAACAGTATTTTACTGATTCTCCTAAAACCTCTTTTTTTAAAGATTTATTTTTAGTGGGGCTAGAGAGATGGGTTAGCAGTTAAGAGCACAGACTGCTCTTCCAGAGGACTAGAGTTCAAGTCCCAGCACCCACAAGGCAGCTCACAACTCTCTGTAACTCTTAGCTCCAGGTGATCGGACACCCTCACAAAGACATACATGTAGATAAAACACCAATGCACATCAAATAAAAAGATAAAAAGATTTGTTTTTATGTGTGTCAATGTTTTGCCTACATAGATGTAGGTGTACCACATGCATGCCTGGTGCCTGCGGAGGCTAGAAGGGAGTATTGGTACCCTGCACTTGGAGTTACAGGCCATTTTGAGCCACGGTGCGGGTGCCAGGTCCAACCTAGGTCCTCTGAACAGCAGCAAGCACTCTTAAACACTGAACCATCTTTTCAGCTGCAGATTTCTCTTTGTTAACTTTGTATTTATTCATTCACTTATGTATTTATTTATTTACTATGTGAATATACATGATGTATGTGTGTCACAGTGTAGGCAGAGAGGTCAGAGATCAATTCTGTGGAGTTAGTTCTCTCCTCCCACCATGGGCCCTTGAGACAGAACTCAGGTCATCAAAATTTGCATGGCAAGCACCTTTACCCAGGGACATCCCACTGGCCCTGATTCTCCTTTCTTTTTTCTGTTTTTGTTTGTTTTCTGAGACAAGGTCTCTCTGTTATATAGTCCTGTTTCTAAAACTTGCTATATAAACCAGGCTGGCCTTGAACTCACGAAGATCCGCCTACCTCTGGTCTTAAAGGCATGCACTACCTAGCTTCTGTAACACATTTCAGATGTAAAAACTGAAAACTTAGGGTAAACCACAAAATTTCACAAGATTTGTTGTGTTTTATTTGGGGATGTTTTGTTTTGGTTTTTAATTTTGTTTTGTTTCTGCGATGCCTGCCTCTGCCTCCCGAGTGCTGGGATTAAAACTGTGCACCACCATGCCCAGCCCTGGAAGTCTAAGTTTTTCCAAGTCATTTGTAAAGGTCGATTTCTACCCTTTTGTATGTGGGTATTTTGCCTGCATGCTCGTATGTGCACTACATGCGTACAGTGCCCCAGGAGGGCAAAAGAAGGTGCTGCACCAACTGGAACCACAGTCACCATGTGGATGCTGGGAACAGAACTCAGGTCCTCTAGAAGAGCAGCCGAGCCCTCTCCAGCCCCACATTAACAGTCTTAAAGCCCTGCACATGGGAAGAGTCAGGAGTCATCCGTACACAAAGCTTGTTTATTTCAGTCCACATGCAGCACATCATCAGATTTTAAAGGTAAAACTGATTTATGTCCAAATAATCTCTTTCCACTGTGACCAAATAAAAAGAACATTACTATATTCTAAATGTCATTAATAAATGAGTAAAGCCTAAACCAAACCCACAACTCTCATCTGGACATTATTGCTATTATTATAACAAATATTGCTATATTCCAGTTTTCCTGGTAGCCACTGGTACTGTTATGTTTTACATACAGTGTATTTTTTAACATTACATAATAGTGGGAATTGTTATTTCTTCCCTGGCTTTATATACTATGTAGCTTAAGAAGATATTTTAAAACATATAGTATTGCATTATATTGTTGGGCTATAATTTTTAAACTTTTAATTAATAGTCACAGAACTGTACAAATTATAAGCACATAACCAGATGGACTTTTACAAGTGAACACACCTATTTGACTCTCACCCAGTTTAAGATAGAGGTCTCTCATGCTCATTACCATAATAAACCCTAGTAGAATTCTATCGTCATAGATTGAATTCTTGTTATAATTTCAAAAGCTTTCTAAAATTGCAGGAATATTATACTAAAAGAACATGGTTATACAAGTAAAGTTGATTCAATTCTACCACCAAGCTTATCTCTCTGAGATAATATTAAATTTCATATATTTTTAACAAATAACCGACTAAATAAATCAGTAAAACCCTTCAAATTCTACTTACCTATTTGCTTTTCCACTGTATACTTCAGAAATTTTGTTTTCACCAAGAAAATTATGTTCAAATTCACCAGGAAAAGTGGATACATCTTCCTTCAGGGATGCACAAAGCTCTTCAGGGGTATGTGTGAAAAAGTTAATGGCTGCTATGCCACCTACAGGGGCCTGTGCCTGCACCCCAGGGGCTTCATGTTGCCCCTGAGAAGCCGCCTCAGACTCCAAGGGTTCCGTGGACTCCTCAGCCCCGTGAGTGTTCATGTCCAGGATACAGAAGGTGCCGTAGCCACTACTCACTGAGCTGCTGTCCACATTGCAGTCTGGGTGACATGTGGATGATTCTGGCTGTGTCTCAGGTTCCTTAGACTCTGGGTAACTGATAACAGACTCATTTCTCTCACTGTTTTCAGAGAAGAAGCCCATTTGGCTTTCTGAGGACACCTGTTCACTCACAGAACTGCTGCTGCATGAAGGCCAGGAAACATTGCTGATCTGTAGTTTTACTAGCTTCCTTATCTCCTCCTGTATTCGCTGAAAACAAAAAGGGTTAAAAAAAAAGTACATTAAACATTTTTTTAAATGTTAAAAAAAGGCCATGTTCCAAAATATGCTGTAACTCTAAATGTAATAACTTATCTTCATAAGCAAAATAATGCAAAGTTTTGTCAAAAAATCTCACTCTCAAAAACCATCACCATTCGGGGCGGCTCACCTGGATCTGCCTATGGAACCGCTCCTGCTGGGTGACAATCTGCTCCTGGCACTGTCGTTCAACCACCCTGAGCAGCTGCAACCACCTGGCCTAAAATTATAAAGAATCTTCATTGAACATAACTTTAACCTAAAATGTTACAAGAAAAATGTTCCTGTGAAAAACACCGCCCTTCTCTGTCTGATTTATTTTCAGACAGGGTCTCACTCTGTCGCCCAGACTGGCCTGAAACCTACTATGCAGCCCAGGCTGGGCTCAAACTCAAAGCAATCCTCCAGCCTTAGCCTTCCAAGCTCTGGGATTACAGGCATCAAGCCTAGTGAAACCACCCCCCTTTTTTTTTCTTTTTTAAAGATTTATTTATTATGTATACAATGTTCTACTGCATGTACACCTGCACGCCAGAAGAGGGCACCAGATCTCATTATAGATGGTAGTAAGCCACCATGTGGTTGCTGGGAATTGAACTCAGGACCTCTGGAAGAACAGCCACCTCTCCACAGTGATAAGCTTCCAACCATAAAAACCACTCTTTTCTAATGCAAAATTTATAGGCCAATTTAAATAGCTCAAAATACACATTTAGTGCAACACTACATAAACAGAGGTTAAAGAATCTTTTTCAATGTAACCTGAAATCTAGGCAAATCTGCAAGTATGTCGTATTTTTCAAGTGGAATCTTAAAGTGTCTTCTGTTGTTGCCTGGTACGCAGAGGCCAGAGAGGGCACCAGATCCTGCGGAACTCGAGTTCCAGGTAATGAGCAGCCATGTGGGTTGGACGGAACATCGGTCCTCGGGAAAGCAGCCTCTGCTCTTAACCAATGACCCATCTCTCCAGCAGTTGTTCTATGCCTTTAGGAATTTATTTGATCATACACACCAAGGTGAACATGTGAAGGCAACTTGTAGAAGGCAATACTTTCCTCCCAATGTGGTGCCAGGGGTGAACTCAGGTCATCAGCAAGCATTCTTACCTGCCGAGCCACCTCACAGGCTTTTATGTCTGACTAATGAAGTACTAGATAGTACCAGGCACAATAGCACATACCTACAGTCCCAGGACTCAGCGAGCTGAGGCAGAGGGATCTTGAAACCAACCTGGACTATACATAGAGACAAAAGACCTGACAGCTGCACTCTATGCGTGTGCATATGTGTACATATATGTGTATGCCCTCATGCATGCTTGCACATGTATAGAGACCAGACAGAGGTAAATCTCAGATGTCCTTCCTCAGGGGCCACCCACCTTGGTTTTTTGTTGTTGTTGTTTTGTTTTGGTCGGTTTTTTTGTTTGTTTGTTTGTTTGGTTGGTTGGTTGGTTGGTTGGTTTTTCAAGACAGGGGGTCTCTGTATAGCTCTGGCTGTCCTGGAACTTGCTCTGTAGACCAGGCTGGTCTCCAACTCACAGCTCCACCCGCTTCTGTTTTCCTAGTGCTGAGATTAAAGGTGTGCATCACCACCGCCCAGCAGCCCACCTTGTTTTTTGACACCGGGTCTCTCACTGGGACTTGAGACTTGTCAATTATGCAAAGCTAGCTAACCCAGGAGTCCCAGATCTACCTCTACAGCACTGGGACTACAAGAACCATGACCCTACCCAGCTTTTTATGTGAGTGCTAGGGATCAAAGGGAAGCTCTCATGCTTATGTGGCATGAATTTTATTACCTAAGCTGCCTCCCCAGCCTCTACATTCATCTTCAGTTCCTCATCCTTTCCCCTCATAAAAGCTAATAATTTAAGTACAGAAACATACCCAAAAGAATCTCATATTCTAAAATAGAAATAAAATAGTAAAACAGTTTCACTTTCACTGAAGTGTTCCAACCCTGCAAAGCTCAAAGTATAAAGAATGGAAAGCTGATTTTCTGGAGTCCCGTGGAATTGGCTCTTCACTTCAGAGCCCATATTTAGGTCATGATTGCTCCTGACTACTAAAAGCAGTAAGCACTTCCTTAGAGACACAAAGCAAGACAGGGGCTCACAGTCCCCAGAAGGATAAGTCCCATCTTAAGTGTGAGCAATAGATGGAACAAGGGCAGTGAAGTGGCACACAGTGCTGATGAGGAGCCATGCTCAAAACCAGCTTTGCTGCTTAAAGCCTCTCAGCTTCCACCATACAGCTCCGCATTGATTCCTCAACTTCACACCTCCTCTCTACAGCTTGCTCACCATCCACCAACCTCTTCTTAGTCTTTGGGCCTACAGGACTGCCTTCCACCTCCCAGCTTTGGAAGCATCATGCCTTCTCCCTGGAACTCTCTCTCTCCCCACCAGCTTTTCACATGACTGCTGGCCTTCCAACCCACAATCCCACACTCACTATCTCCTCCTCTCAAAATCCTAAGCATTTCTCTTTTTTGCCTTGTGTCCATTTTACAGTAGAAAAATAACTAATTCGTGCAGTTTTGTACATACTGCCCCAAACAAACTTAAGTCTGTTTCAACCATGAACCTGGTCACTAGCTGAGAAAATAATGTTATTCCATATCTCAGTCATCAGGGCACCAATAATAGATTCCCTCTTGTACTTACTACCCTCCCAGTGAATATATGAACTGCAGAAATGCCTGAGAACTTCACAGACAAACCATGAACATGGATATGGCACTCACATATTATCATAATATTCTTTGCTCTAAGCAACTTCCACTTCCTTTATGTGACATTTAGGTAGGGGTGTGTGCGTGTGTGTGTCCAAGCACATTAGCAGGCATGCATCACTGCAGACTGACGTTAGGCCAAAGTGAATAATAAGCAACCATTCTACTACCTATACTTTTTTTTCCCCCAAAAACATGGTCTTACTGCCTACCCTGAAATTTTCTCTGTAGATCAGAGATCCATCCACCTGCCTCTGCCTCCCAAGTGCTAGATTAAAGGCATGGACCACCACTTATACTAATTTTTAAAAGTTAGTACAAACAGGTTATTTTATCTGTGAATTTCACTTCAGAATGATATGAACTGCTTTTACTTTAAAAAAAAAAAGCTATAAAAAGAGGTCTTAAGGGGGCTAGAGAGATGGCTCAGAGGTTAAGAGCACTGACTCCTCTTCTAGAGGTCCTGAGTTCAATTCCCAGCAACCACATGGTGGCTCACAACCATCTGCAATGGAATCTGATTTCCTCTTCTGATGTGCGTGAAAACAGAGTGTTCATACACATAAAATAAATAAATATATAATATATATATAATTGTTTAAAAAAAAAAGAGGTCTTAAAAGCTATAAAAGAACTAATTAGAGTGAGTGCTACAAAGTGTCTAGTATACTACCTGGCAAAGAGACAGATAAAATGAAAATATTTATTATTTTTATCCTATAACTTATTATTGTATAAATAATTCAAGTGCTAAAATGCTAAAAAGATCTAGCTGAGGCAAACTAATACCGTCAGTCAGCTCTGCCGGCTCAGAATAAGGTTTTGTGTTTACCAAAGTAGATTAGGCCCTTTTGAATGACAAGAAACAATCTTGTTACCCCAAAAGGGAAGGGAAAACCTTCAAGGGGAAAACCATCAGAGTAAGGCTTGTATAATACCTGTGAGATGTTCATAAAGATTCAATTTCCATCATAGTTTCACCGAAGAAATTGCTGCCATGACAAGCAGACGGCTCAACACATCATGATGAACACAATCAGAACATTTAAAATATTCTAAGCAAAGTAGAGTTAGTTTTTTTCAAAGTAAGAACAACTCTAGGAGCACCTTAGAATACTGTAATTAGTAACAGTTGTAACAATCGGAGGGTGCTGGGAGCAAAGGTCAGTTCATGGGAATGTCTGCCTACTGCAGCCCTGATATTCCCTGTTTTCCTTTTCTTGTTCCTTCAGAATCAACACCTGGTTAATATACTTAGTCATCTCACTTTAGCCCTAAAGTTAAGTATCACCATTTTTCTGGAAATATATTTCTAACAATTCGGTAGAGCCCCACTGAAACAGAATTCAAGACCCCCAAAATAAGCCAAAATGAGATACCTCACAGTTCTTCCAAGGTTCTGGGTCAGTCTGGCCACTGTTCTGCAATTCTTGTGTTAAAGCAGTGAGGATTTCGACTGTGCCTTGAATGACTGGTGGTCCGGTCTTCCCTGAGAAAGAGGATACCCCATTTGTACTAAGGTGGGGACTACTTCTGTTGAAACATAAATAATTCAATGGTTTTCTTCATTCAACTGAAGTGTTGAATAATTCAGTAGTGCAAGATCTAGCAGAGCAGCACACAGCCACTGACACCTAACCCTCCAAAGGGCCCCTCCTTTGAAAATCTGACCAGAGTCAGGCAGCACAGGACACACTCACTTCTTTATGAATGGCACAGAGGGACCTTTTCCAGCGCTGGGGAACGCCCCAAAGCCCAGCAGAATCTACAGGAGTCATCCCAGCCTCTCTGAATTCTTCTGAGGATCATTTGGCCCACTTTAAACAGCCCTCCATTGTGCTCTAAGGATTCTCTCTCCATTCCCCAGAACAGTCAAGTCTTAGTAACCAGATTGATTTGGTGTGATAAGCTTGTGCTTATCTCTGGACTACCTCTAAATCAAACTTCTGCCAAGCCAATTAGCAGCCAACATTCAGGATTTATTGGGCCTGTGGTGTGTAATGGAACACTAATTCTTTCCAGAAGACTTATTTTCCAAATGTGGGTCGATTTTAGATTTGTTTATAAACACCCCAAGCACAATTCAGGACAATCAAGTCTGTGTAGTAGCTGAAAGGGCATTTAAAAAAAAAAAGTTTTTTAATGACTTTTTATTTTATGTGCATTGGTGTTTTGCCTGAATGTATATCAGTGTGAGGGTATCGGACCCCTCAAAATGGAGTTACAGACAGTTGTGAGCTACTATGTGGATGCTGGGAATTGAACCCAGGTCCTCCAGATGTGCAGCCTGTGTTCTTAACCACTGAGCCATCTCTCTTCCAATTTATGTTATTTTTCTATCAGCCACATATATGCCAGACTGGCCCCAAAACTCATTATGTAGGAGAGGATGACTGTGGCCTTCTGTTCTCTCTGTCTTTCCCCTCTCAGTGCAGGAATTACAGTCATGAGCCATGAAGCCCAATTTATGCTAGAAATGGAGCCCAAAGCCTCCTACATGCTAGACAAGCACTCAGCCAACAAAGCTACATTCCCAGACCCTTGGCCATTTTATTTATATATTGAGTAGACCTGCTTTGTTAAACACACACACACACACACACACACACACACTCCAAAATGAAGATACTAAATAACATTTGGACCAGAATAAAAATTCAAGAGCAAGAATATAAGCTCTCTAAAATAAGTGTTGTCCATAAGAACTTTGCAGAGTTGCAATAATCAGTTTCAACATGGTGGATTTAACTGTCAGTCACAAGGGAGAGAGATATAAATTCAATGACATAAATTTCATGAGAAAAGCACACTTATATCCCCCAGGCAATTTAAGGACTCTACTCTAAAGGACATTTCTTCTAGAAGTGGATTTCAGAGGGGCACCAAATGAGACAAGAAGTAAAGTGTGAGCCAGTGTTCAGCTTTCAAGAGCACTGCAGCAGACACTTCTTCTGGGTCATTTCTCATCTTTTAAATTCTTCCCTCACACTACCTCATTCCACATGGTGGTATTATACAAGCTTAAATGCTTCAAATTTCTCACAAGCAAGGCAGAGAATGAACAATTTTTATAGTTTATTTATAATACACACTTGCTTCAAACTCTTTACCTTTAAAGCTACCTGGCCCTCTAGAGTGCACTAACACAGCCTTTAGTAGGATCCTAGCACTCGTAGAGGCAGAGGGAGGTCTGTGAGTCAGAGGCCAGCCTGGTCAACAGCGTGAGTTCGAGGACAGATAAGCCTATGTAGAAAGACCCTGTCTCAACAACAAAAAAAGAAAATACGGTCAAATGTGTATGTATGTGTGTGTGTGTGTGTGTGTGTGTGTGTGTGTGTGTGTGTGTGTTGCGGGGGAGAGGGTGTGGTTTACATAAAGCCAGCCATAATCTCCAGTTTGGGAGGTAGTATCAAGAGTACTGCCACAGATTACAGGCCAGCCTAGTCTACACAATGAGCTTTCAGGGCAGCCAGGGACATAGATACCCTAAATCAATCAACCAATAACTAAGTACATAAAACATTTTGTTGGCTATTTACAAACATATTTACAACTTATAGTCTTTTTTCTTTGTCTGGTTACAAACATACATTTTCAATTGCTACTTCAGACTAGTGAGATGCTTCTGCAATATAAAATATACTATTAATTTTCTTTTGGGTTTTTTTGGTTTTTTGTTTGTTTGTTTCTGTTTTTGTTTTTTGGTTTTTCAAGACAGGGTTTCTCTGTATAGCCTTGGCTGTCCTGGACTTGCTTTGTAGACCAGGCTAGCCTCAAACTCACAGCGATCAGCTTGCTTCTGCCTCCCTGATTGCCGGGATTAAAGATGGCTTATTAATTTAAAATATAGAAAGAAGCTGAGTAAGCTAGCTCACATTTGTAATCCCAGTACTAGGAAGAAGGAATGCCTTGAATATGAAGACAGCCTAAGCTACACAGTGAGAATATCTCTTAAAAAAAATAAATAAAATTTTAAAAGGAGAAATAATTAGGCAATTATCAGGAGGCAGAGAATCAAAAGCTCAGGTATCCCTGGCTGCATTATGAGTCAGTCTAGCCTAGGCTATAAGAGAACATACCTAATAAATAAACACATAAAATAAATAATAAATAAATAAATTTAGGTCATTTTGTTTGTTTGTTTTTTGAGACAGGGTTTTTCTGTGTAGTCATGGCTGTCCTGGACTCAATTTATAGACCAGGCTGACCTCAAACTCAATGAATATTGGCCTGCCTCTGACTTTCAAGTGCTGGGATTAAAGGCATGCACCACCAAGCCTGGCCTAGGTCACCAAACTTTAAAAATAAGCTTATAAGTTGACAAATTTTAAAAAATAATTAAAAAATAAATTTAAAAAGGATAGAAAAGAGTTGCCAAATAAAAAAGCATAATGCAGCCAGGCTCGATGGCACATGCCTGTAATCCCAGCACTCAGGAGGCAGAGGTAAGCAGATCTCTGTGAGTCTGAGGCCAGCCTGGTCTACAAAGTTAGTTCAGGACAGCCAAGGCTACACAGAGAAACCTGTCTCAAAAAACCAAACAAACAAAAAGCATAATGCACAGTACAATGAGAAAAATGAATTTGGGGTTTTTGCTTTTGTGAGACCACTGTCTTACTATGTAGCCCTGCCTGGCCTGGAACTTGCTACATAGTAAATCAGTTCTTTTCTACAGTGTTGCCATGCAGAAGTACATTTCTCTGCAAGTAATGATGGATGGATACTAGTCACAACTGATTGAATATACCTCAGTTCTTCAGCAGGGGTGAGTTGTTCTGTTCTTTAAGGCAAATCAGCAACTGTGACACTGATTAGATCAACTGGTCAGCTCTGCAAACAAAGTTATTTTGGTTTGTTGACACATAAAAATAGTATCAAACCAATTCTTACCTATTAGCACGTAAGCTCAACCCAAGAGAATGGGGAGTACTTTTGATACCAGATTCTAAAGAAGGTGAAGTTTTTTGTGAAGTTTCCACCAAATCAAAATCCTCCATATCATACAAAAATTGTTAAGCTCTGTCATTTGGAAACACTGTTGCTCTTCCTGCAGGAGGAGACGGCTTCCGAGTCTTCTTCAGCCACTTCACCGTCTACAGGCATCCTCAGCAGCTGACATTCAGCACTGCGAAATCTGCTACACTTCCAAAGGGTCTGAAAATGAATGGGGGAAAACTACTGTAAACAGAGAGAAATCTGCTACACTTCCAAAGGGTCTGAAAATAAATGGGGGAAACTACTATAAACGGCCACTAAATTTATCCACGATCTCTGGAAACCTCTCAAATTCATCTACAATAAGAACAGCAATATTAGGGCTCAGTGGCTAAGAGGCACTTGCCAGGCAAGTAAATTGAACACCTAAGCTCAAGGAAGTTGAGAACCAACTCCTCTGTCCTCCATGTGGCACCTAGAGTATACATGAACACACACACAACCACAAATAATTTAAATTAAAAATGTAAAAAGAATAGTGAGATTATTCACAACAGGCCTCTGGAGATGAAGGGACAAAGTAAGATGATTCATCCATGTGATGGAATATTACTAGTCCACAAGAAGGGATGAAGCAATGAGTCCCACTATGACAAGAAGTACAGAAAACATCAAGCTAAGTTTAAAAAACAATCATAAAAAAGACCACTGGAGAGATGGCTCAGCGGTTCAGAGCACTGACTGCTCTTCCAGAGGTCTGAGCTCAATTCCCAGCAACCACATGGTGGCTCACAACCATTTGCAATGGAATCTGATTTCCTCTTCTGGTATGCATTAAAACAGAGTGTTCACATATATTAAATAAATAAATAAATCTTAAAAAAAAAAAAAAGACCACTACTCTGTGACTCCATTTGCATGAAGTATCTAAGCATCAGCAAACCCACAGGGCAAAATGAAAACTGTTATGTCTGAAGCACTGAGGAGAAGGGGAGAAAGGAGGTCACTGCAGTGTAGCTGCTTTTCATCTTAGGGTGATGAAAAGTCCTGAATTCAACTTTTTTTTTTTTTTAAACTAAGATCTCTAGATGATATATTTTCAAAAGGATGGAGCTTATGTATAGGAATCATATGTTTTTTTAAAGCAATTTGTAAGAGTCCATTATCTCCTACAGGCAATATTTCAGAATTTTGTGTTTAATAATGAAGGTTCTAAATGCACCCTATTATGTAATAAATGGAGTGCTTCCAGGCCTGCTTCACGTATTTAATAAGTCCTACCTTGCAGAAGTGCTTGTTGACTTACGAAGCCACTAACAGGGCTTACCTACAGTCTTTAAATTGGTGTTTAAGAGCTATTTAATTAGTCAGGCAGTGGTGGCACACACCTTTAATCCCAGCACTCAGGAGGCAGAGGTAGATAAATCTCAGAGTTCAGGACAGCCAGGGCTAGAAGGACAAACACTGTCTTGTGGGGTGGGGGGAGAGCTATTTAACTGTTAAAAATCGTTGGACAGACAATTCTCAATTCAGAGCCTTTTGTACTTTTTGCATCTGCAATAGCTTCTTGAGAGAGAAACTTATTTCCTGACAAATTAACTACAATTTTACTAAATCTGGACATACAGAGATAAACCTGCCGTTATAAGCCCAACCATGTCTCCTCCTTCCAAAATCCACTGATTTTCTCTTTTTTTAAAGTGGGGGAAAAAGAAAGAAACAACAACAACAACAAAAAAAAAAAAGCAGGGGAAAAAAAACAAGAACAACAACAACTAAAAAAGCATGCTGCTTACAGAATGAGAAGTTTAGAGGCTGCATCGGAAGAACTTTCTCACTTTCCAGGCCTTAAAGAACACAATCAGTTCATTAAAGTTAAAGAACCACTTCCTTCAGGACAGGTACAGAGGCCAAGGGTAACCAGACCTAACCAACTGGGCTTTGCCTCCCCCACTTCCCCACCCCAGGGTCTGGCCCATCACCAACAACAAACGGGGTATTGAAAACGCCAGGGGCTGCCTCCTCCAACTGGCAACAAAAAATACCTGGATTCAAATGACCACAAATTCTCCGGAGAGGTGGATCTACAGTCTCATCACCCCACCCCACCCCGCCCCACCCCCGTTCTCCTCCGCTGAGGTAATCCGGATGCAGAAGATTCAGATGGAAACACCACCACTCAATGGCGCCTCTCCCCGCACGAAATCCGCTGTAGACCCGAAATAAACTTGACAGAGAAGGAATATAGGGACAGGCATTTTTTTATATATAAATATCATTTCCAGCAAAAGAAGAAAAGATACTTCTGTCCCCTCGCCCTACAACACTTTGGGGTCGGCGGCAGTGAGTGGCGGAATTGCGTTAACAAGCCGAAAGTTCACTAGGCTTCCCTGCGGGGAGACCTCGGGTGTTGAAGCCGGCCCCTGGTCGCTGGCAGGCAGCGGCCATCAGTTCGAGGCCGGAGGCGAGAGGATACAGGCGGCAGCAGCGATGATGAAGAGCCACTCACTTCACCACCACCGCGACCGCCAAAGGGAATTCGGGTACCACTACTCGGAGGGGGAGGGGGACACTCACGCCTCCTGCGAAGGCCGCACTCCGATTGGGCCACGCTGGTGTCACTCAAGGGCACGAGCCCGGACCCGCACGCGAGGGCAGGCTCCGGCCAGGTCTGCGGTGGCCGTCGGCCCTCGCCTCGGCCTGTCAACGCGCCCAGCGGGTCCCACCTGACGGGACCGTCCAGCCCTCAGCCCGCGCGGCACGCAGCTCCCCGCAGGCCGCGACCGCTTACCTGTCCTCGCCTCCGCCTAGGTCGGGAGCGGGAGATTGGCCCCACGCGACCGTTAAACTCCGAGGAGCGTGCGCGCGCCCGGCGTCTCGCCCGCGATTGGCTGCTCGGAAGAGGGCCGAGCCCCGGAGCGCGGCGCGCGCAGACACCTGCCCGAGCTCCCTGACGCTCAGTTCGCGCCGAAGGGGGCGCGGCGACGCCGGAGCGTGAGGGCGGGGCTTGAGGTCAAGGCCTCCGCTGATTGGTTCTCTGGAAACTGCGGGAAAGACGCCTCGGTGGAGCCTCTGGCAGGCCGGGGGTGCGGGTGGTGGGGGGAGCCGCCGAAGGACTGTGACGCATGCGCAGACGTGGGACGCGCAGACGCCCGCTCCGGTCCGCCGCGGGTTAGGGCCTTGTTGAATGCTCCCGGCGGAGGCCGGTGCAGAAACAGGTAAGCGTCTGCAAAGCCAGACTAGGGCTGGTTAGTACCGTCAGAGGCTCTAGAATGAGGCCTTGAAGCTGGAACTGCCGACCTACCCAGGACTTGCGTCACCTAATTCACACGAGGTCTTACCCGGCCCGACCTCTAAGTTGTTTGGACTCACTTGACCCTACCTTTAGGGAGATCGGCAGTGTCGACTCTGCAGGAACCTGGCGCGAGGAGAGGAGCAGAGTTCGCCGCCCTGGAGAATATAGTTTGACGGAGGCCCGGGGAGATAACGTCTATTCAGGGGAACACGTCTCAGAGCAAGTGCTTGGGCACGGTCATTTAAGTGCTCGCTCAGGGTTGCTGCTGCGAAGTCAGGATGCGGGAGAGGAGTTTGCCCTTCAAACGGCAAACCTACCGAGAAACATCCTATCTCATCCTCTCGCCCTTAAAATGACCCACTATTTACTTTTATTATTGTTGTTGTTATTATTATTGGCGGTCTCACTAGATAACCCTGGCTGCCCTGGAACTCCTTATGTAGACCAGGCAGTGCTTGAACTCACTGAGGTCCACTCGCTTCTGTCCCACAAGTGCTGGGTTTAAAGGCCTGTGCTCAAGCCTGGGTAGGCAGATTTTTTTTTTCAGCAGTGAAACTTAAGTAGCGATCCCAGACTCACAGGTGTATGCCAGATCTAAAGCTTAAATAAATCAAAAGTTCCATTTGATTGCTCCACCCATGCATATAACGACCGTACACCAAACCAAAGTCAAATTATTTTTAAGTGCACAGATGTCTACTTGCCTATTTCAAAATGTCTTATCACTTATTTCATTGGGTCCTTGAATCTATGACTCTAATAATTAGAGACCCCAGAATCTTGCATTCAAATAACTGAGATTTGCAAATTTTCAAACAATTCCAAAGAAAGGAGTGTACCTCCCACAGGTAGATATTAAACCCAGAGGCAGCTACTGTATACCAACCATACAGAAGGCATGGTCACAAAACCAGAAGTGCTCTGTAAACTTGGGAGGTTTGGGTATTTTGGTTTTGGTTTTTGTTATTTTTTTCTTTCTGTAATATGATTTTCAGTAGTATCAGTTTTGTAGAATTTTGGTTTGGTTTTTGAGACACAGTTTCTCTTATATCCCAGGCTGACCTAAATTCGCTAGGTAACCAAGACTCTTGATCCTCCTGCCTCTACCTCACAAATGCTGGGATGGCCAACCAGCATGCACCACCATAGACAACTTCAGTATATTCTTCTTAGGTGATTTCTAGAGACTTCCTTCTTAATCTGTTCATGTGTTAAGTCAAATTTCAGGAACTAGCATTGTGATTAACCTTATTTTGTTAACTGACACAGCCAAGGTTGTTCGTGCCACGTTTCTTACCTTAGGTATAACGTTTTGGTAAGGTCTCGTTCGCTCGTTCCTTCCCTTGCTGGTTTAGAGCTCCCTTCAGTTTCCCTGCTACCCTGGTGCTGGGAGTAGCTCTGCATCCTGTTTGATGATGGGACTTGCCTCAGGGTGTTGCTTTGTGTTATTGATTGTTTTTTTTTTTTTTTAATAAGTTTGTCTAGGGAGGGGGCATCCTTCACATCAAAAAATAAGAAGGAATAGAACTTTAAGTCTGAAGCTTGACTAGCAAGCATGGAGAACGAGCAGGTCTCCATTTGGGCTTCACTCCAGTTTGTGGTGCCAAGCAGATACTCTGTACGAGGCTACGTTTCCAACCCTACATTCAAACGTTCTGCTTTTTATGATTTTTTTTCTGCTATAGTCCCTACTTCCTAAGGTTAGTTATGTTGCAACCGGGGCTTGGTTTGATGAGGGTGGGGTAGTCTGTCAGAGTGAGCCTGATGTAAAGACCAGCTGTGGTTTTGGTGTCATGTGATCTCTTTGGCACCTGAATTCATACACCAGAATTATGATCTGACACATTTCCATGGTGTCCAGGTACTTTTCGGTTTTTTGAGACAGGGCTTCTCTGTATAGCCTTGGCTGTCCAACTTGCTTTGTGGTCCAGGCTGACCTCGAACTCAGAGATCCGCCTGCCTCTGCCTCCTTGAGTGCTAGGATTACAGCCATGTGCCACCATGCCCAGCTTTGGAGGTACTTCTTAGCTTGGACCAAAACAAGCAAATTAATTTGCAGGTCACTCTTGTAGAAGCCCTTTCTCTTTCATCTTTAAAAAGCCCCTGAACTGCACAACTGAGAAATCTTTGACTCCCAAACCATTCAAGCTGTGGTCGGATGGCCTAAGCCCTGCCTGTAAAACAACTATTTCAGGGGCTGCTGGGCTACCATCTAACATGCGCTGAAGCTTTCTGAAGCATAAATGCATGGTCTTCATCTTACACATGAGGAATCATGACCGTGGTTGTAGTTAGTAAATCAGAGCTCTCTAGTCATGAGTACTAGTGAGTTCACACTCATCCTTCATGGTAGCACAGGCCTGTAATCATGGGACTAAGGCTAGCCTGGGATACACAGGAAGACTGTCTCAAAATAAGATGATGGCCTGAAGACTAGCTCCTTGTTCGAAGCACTTGCCACTCAAGTGCAAGGACCAGCGTTTGAGTCCCAGCACTCACCTAAAATGCCCAGTGAGCTTGGTTGCCAGCCTGTAATTGCAGCCTTGGAAGGCAGAGACAGGGGAGTCCCCAGAGCAAGCTGACCAGAGAGGATAATGGTGTCAGAGCTCTGGGTTTGACTGAGACTCTGGTTCAGTGAATAAGGTGGAAGGCAACAGAGAAGGATTCCCACCATAAATGCCGGGCCTCTGCCTGCGCATGTTCACACCCACACGTGGAAATGGAAAGGAACATGAAAGTTTCTTCTCTCCGCTCCGCAGTGTAGCCTTTTCTGCAGTAAAACAAGGAGAGGAAGACTCAAAGACAGAAAGTTAGGCAAAATGAGCCAACTTTTTTTTTCCTTAAGAAATGGGGAGGGAGAACAGATTGGAGCTATTAAGAAATTTAATTTCAAAAGTTGAAACCAAAGCCCACACCTTTAATCCTAGCACTCAGACAGAGGCAGGCAGGTCTCTTAATAAAGTTCCAGGCCAGCCTGATCTACATAGTGCGTTCCAGGACAGCCAGGGCTATATAGAGACCCTGTCTCAAAAAAAGAAAAAAATTAATTAATTAAAAGGCAGGTGGATTTCTGCATAACAAGTTACAGGCCAGCAGGGCTTCATAACGAGACCCTGACTCAAATAAAAACATTCAAAACGGCTGTCCTGTACTCCCACTCAGTAGGAATACCAGAAGTTCAAGATTGTCTTAGGCTCTGTAATAAATTTGAGGCCATCCTGAGCTATATGATACTCCAGCTTTTTTTTTTTTTAAACCTAATTATCTTTTGTGATAAGCAAACTTAAGACAATCCACACAGTACACCTTCCTTATTTTCTTTATATTCTCATTTTTGTTTTGCTTTAAAGAGTTGGGTCTATGTAGCCCAGGCTAGCCTCAAACTTGCAATCCTCCAACCTGTCCTGCCGAAATGACAGGTTTGCACCACCAGAGCCTGCTCAGTACCAAACTCTGGGGCTTAATGAAGACATTTGAGTACTAACTAAACACTAAATGCCATTAACAAATAGTACATAGGCTTGAAGAGTTTTAGAGTAAAGGTTGTATTTATTAGTTCTGTTTTCTAAATGCTCCCGTTGCATTCTCATAGTGTGGTTGGTAAGTTAGAAGATTTCTACAAATGCTACAAATAGCATATATAATTCTCGGTGCTTTGAAAGTTTCCGCTATAAAAAGATGTGTGAACTGGATATTTTATTAGTTGTCTCTTGACCTAGGTAGCAGCAAGCCCGTTAAAATTCAGACCAGACCCACAATGGTCTCCTTTGCCGCTGTTCCCCCAGATCAAAGCAGGATCGCATATCTCCGGCTGGTCTCAAGCTTGCTGTGAAACTGAGCGTCACCCTGAATTTCTGATCCTCCTTCCACCTCTAGTGCAGGAACTATAAGCATGTACCACCATGGCTGATTTACGCTCTGGTGTATGGAACTAGAACTCAGAGCTTCATGCATGCTGGGCAAACACTGCTCACTGAGCCCACAGCCCCCAACCCCTTTCCATGCCTTTCTAGTGTGGAGAGTCTCACATATGCCTAACAGCATACTTCCACTGGAGCACTGTTCTAGAGTAGGCACAGTTTTGGCATTCTTTCTTCAGATGATCCAGTTCCTCAATCCCCTCGTTGCTGTCACCTTCTTCAATAGCTCAAATCGATACTCAGTCCATTCTCTTATCTAGAGGACCTCCTTGCCCTCCCTTCACACACCTTTATCTCCTCCTCTGTCTTATCTCCATCACTGCCATCATGATCCGAAGCTTCTCATCAAACAGTCTCACCATCGTAGGTGTCGAGGTTTAGGCAGTACTGCTCAAAGCTCTTTGGAATAACACGCAAAGTGTGGTCCCTAAACTGATAGCAACAGCCTTTCCAGGGGCCTAGTTAGAAAAAACATAGTGACGTACATCTTTTCAGTCCCAGCACTCGGGAGGCAGAGACAGATAGAGGTCTTTGAGTTCAAGGCCAGCCTGAACTACATAGTTCTAGGCCAGTTGGGACTTACATAGTGAGTATCTGTCTCAAAAAAAACAACAATAACAGAAGCAGAGGTTCAGAAGAACAAAGTGTC